AAGATGCCTTCAAGCTAGAGACCAAAGATGATCATAACCGATGTCCATCCCCTATGTGGACTGATAGCGAAACGGTTTTTATTTGTATTCTTTTCACCTACATTTCGATAGTAACATTGAATTAAAACAAGCTGGTTTAACTGATTACCTCAAGTCCATAGATATCGCCATTAGTTCATACATCTGTTAATACTTTCTCTGACAAGCGGATGTGACGAGACCCGTTCAGGTGACATACTGTATATCCCCTTTAGCTAATTATAGGAGACTACATGCAGATTTAAGTGCACACACATGAAATTACATTTGCACAATTAAACTACAACATTGACTGGATTAGTTGACATTAAAACATTTGACACGAATAGCATTTAGAAACATTTAATTCGAAAAAATCTGAATAAAGGAATGAACAAAAAATGAGTGTTCTGCCAGTCCCGTCATTCACTCACCGTTTCTCCAAACGCAGGACGAGAGGACGCTGCTTTTAACCCAGTATGAAAGTAGTCCATATGATTCATGAGTTATTCGAAGACTTTATTTTGTGAGGCCAGAAAAAATAGCATGAATATGAGAAGTCATTCAATGAACACGTTGTCCTGCTCCATGTGAATCTGATGCCAACTTGTGTTATATCTTCATATATTCAAGCTAACGTTCGGCCTGTAGCCTTGCCGCTGGTCTCCAATAACATTTTTAATTTGAATTAAATCAAAGAAAAAGTTATAAATAGCAAACAATATACTAAATGAAATAAAATCAAAAATCCAAAAAAGGTAAATAAATAAATCCAAAAACATGGAAAAATAAATAAAGAAATAAAATAGCTGCTCTATACACATGTGAGAGCGCTATATAAAGCCGGTGTCTTGCCTCGACCACAGACGAGTGACGAAGAGCGACGGGATCAAGACTCGAGACAAAATAAACCTGCGGATGCACATTTCTTGTTCTCAGTGAGCGCAAGCTTCATACGAACGAGCATCACATCTGAACATGACAAACATGAGTCTTTCCTCAAGTCTTCAGATCTGATGTAGACTAAGTTAGACATTAAGTTCATGTAGTACACTCAAAATCCACCAGACTGAGCTTTAGTTCAAGAAGCAACCCACTGCAGATAACATCTGAATACACTTTATTTTAATATAGCATCTGTACATCAACACATCTTCATCAGGCTGATGATCTGAGCAGTTTAAGTTTGTAGATACATAACCTACCTAAAAAGCAACTTTATCCGTTTGAATTATAATTGTATTTTATGATGCTCAGTTTTGTCGTATTGTAACAGAAGACAGTGAGGAGATATGATTGATATAACAGCATGTAAATATGACTAATGCATCTCTGATTAGAAGTAAACCCTCACTCTTCCTTTTCTTTGCCATCCTCGCTGAAGAAAGCCGTCAGCTGCGCTCCATCAGGGACGTATTTGATGTTCTCCACCTCTCCTCCGTAGTTGCTGGGCTTCTGGAAGTGGATCTCCAGATGGTCCTGAAGATCTTCTTCATCCATCAGCGCCTGGATTCCTCCCAGCAGCACGGTGCGACTCGGGGCCCCCGAGTACGTCTACAACATCACAACAAACACCATCAAACAAACGCGCTTCTGCGCCCAAAACAGATGTCTGGTACAGAAACGCACCTGAAACTTCCTGAGCTGATACTCATACAGAGGAAGAACATCGAGCACCACGTCGCTGCCGGCGTCGGCACAAAACTTCCCTCTGTGAACCAGATTCTCTGCAACTGAAAGTGAAAGCAGGAGAGCCGTCGTGAAGCTGAAACCACATCTGAGAGCGAAACATCCGTCCACAAACACAACAGATTAAACCAGAGCTGCACAGTACTATACTGCACTGTTGTATATTTGTCATTTATCTTCTTTTCTTTTTTAAGACCTGCACAAATAAAATTAACACCTTATGAGTGGGGTAAGGTAACGTCTATAGTAACAATATTAAACTGTAAAATGACTGTAAGCATGATTTACAGTTCAGATACAAGTTTTCACAAAAACAAAATGTTTTATAAAACAATACACTTCACATTTCAGCCTTTAAACCATTTTTAAGAAAATCAAAAGTATAAAAGTATTATTTAATTTAAACGATTATCATCAATAAATTATTATAATAATTAAATAACATATAAATACATTTTACTGTTTTACTGTTTTAGATTTTTATAATGCATTATCTTCTTATCGATCTACCAGTTCACATTTACAACTGCGTGTTTGCTGCATAAAAACATGGGTGGATGTTCGCTTTGGTCTGAACAAAAACAGCAGACGGGCTTATTGA